ACTAAAAAAAAAAAAAAAAAAGCCAAAAAACAAAGCAATGATTTTATGTTCTGTAAAAATGGCATAGTTCCTTCTAATCCTACCATATTTCCCACACTTGACCAAGAGGCATGGGATACCTGCCTTCTCCTCGCCTTCCCAGCATATCTAGAAAAATCTCATATGCAGTTTAAATGCAGATTAGATTAAGGAATAACTTCTTCATATTCCCTTGTATTAGTATATGTTTTGCTTTCATCACTAGAGTCATCTACAGCACTGTGATGGAGTTCACACTTTAGGGCAAACAAACATTCATTTCAGATGTTAGAGCCAATATTGCTGATGTTTGCACATGTTTTTTTCTGGGTATAGATGCTCAGATATATCCAAAGGTCAGGTCAAGACAGTGCCAATAATTCTGTCTGTCTATCCATCAATCTATTTATATACTGGAACTATCTCAACCCCTTTTCTACAAGCACACAACAGACAAGATAAATTTCACTTTGATCATACAATAACTGCACAAGGAAAATGACCTTACCTTTAGCAAGAAGGGCCAGAAATTTGTGAATGGCAAGAAACTTCTTCAACTGCTAAACTCAGAACATCGAAACTAGAATATTTATTTAGTACAGAAACTGTTACTATCAGGGACACAAGGATTATCATAATTACAATAAAGTAGGTTGAGCATCTTAGAAAAGCGTTTTTAGATCTGTCTAGAGTCACCCTGGAAGTTGCATGAAAGACACCAGCAGCAGGCGCTTTTTATCTTCAAAGAACTGGTAATTACTTATACCTTGCAACATACTTATGAAGCAAGGACTCCATCCCCACTGCCCAGAGAGCACACGAAATAAAGTCAGAGGGTGGAAAGGACAAATATGTGAACGAGGGCAGGATCAGTGCCACTGTGGTTTTTGTGATTAGATCCCATGCACTCCTGTTTAATTCTAGTCCCCATTCACTCATACAGGCAGTCAAAAATCAGAAAAAGGAAATACGCAGGACCTACATTTCTTTCAGAGCATTTCTCTTGAGTTTTGCACCAGGAGGAAGTGGACTCTCTGCACACTCAGCAAAATAATCAGACACTCCATGGAGAGCTCTTTCTGTCTACTCCAAAAGATAACAAAGGTTCAACCAGAAATCTATTAGCTGAACATGAGAGAAAACAGTTACACTTTGAATGCTCACAGATTTATTTTCGTAAAGACTAAATAAAGTCGCTTAGTGTTTTAGGCTATTTTATTATCGAGGACTTTTGGGTAAATTACAACTTCTCTCAGACTGTCAGCCTACACATTTCATACATTAATATGCACTGTGACCATACAAGACTGTAATGTAAGTGATACTCCAGGCCAGTATCTGGTATCTATGAGCTCTAAACTATGACAAAAGCCCAGAGTCACTGAACCTGCTGTATCACATTTGTGATAAGACTTGGTGTCACTGCGGGCAGCACACTTTGGTTATCCTAAGCATTGCTGATATTCTCCCTACTTATAAAAACAGAAACATGGCTATATGTACCCCTCAAGACAATATCAAGAGTTAAAATTTTTAATATTGATATCTTCAAAAAAGAGCTGTGTCACTCTTGCTACTGAAAAATTGCTTTGTTCCTTTCTTATACTAATCACTAGCACAGTTTTATATAATTCAGTACTATTTGCTTATCTACATTTTTACATGACAATGCAAGTGTCATAAGGGCATAATTATAAAACGTGAAGTCTCCCAATCTTTGCCAACACTGACACGTATCATGCTTTTGGGATCTTCCTTTTGGTTAGCAAGCAGACAATTCAGACAATTCACAAGGTGTTATCTTCTCTTATTTTCTAAGACACTGAGTATTCCTCCCCATCAAATTACAGTAAGTCCCCAACTTATGAACATTTGAATTGCAAATTTTCACAGGTGTACTATATAAGACTCACTTTTGTTGGCTTACGAACAAATACAAACAATTCTCCTGAAATAGAACTCATTTGTTTAGTCAGGGACTCACTAAATAATAAAATATTTTTGTCCCAAGGAAGAGTATTGGGAAGATGTCAGCAGGTCCCTGCTTTATTTAGGCTTCCATGGCAATGAACAGTGGCAGCCCCAGAGACCCTGACAGGAAGCAGCCATTAGTATTATGTCTGGGTCCCCCTCACATGGATGGGATGGGCTTCACCCAATCACGGTCCACAATACTAGATATGAGGAGCCTTCATTCAGCATTAATAGTGCCCATGGCTTCAGGCCCAGTGGATGTCATTCAAAATCATATCCAGTTATAACCCAAGTTAGTCTTAATGGTTAGTGAGCAGAGTATTATAGGCTTTATTGGATTACACTACATTCTGATGCATCTCCCTTTTGGCTTTTTGTTTCCTACAACTTTACTTGCTGACCAAAACAGAGTAATAATTTAAAAGAGAGAGAGAGAGAGAGAGAGAGAGAGAGGGAGAGAGAGAGAGGGAGAGAGAGAGAGAGGAGAGAGGGAGAGACAGACAGAGAGGAGACAGACAACGTGGAGAGACAGAGGAAACAGGGAGAGAGCAATGTAGATTTATGTATGAAACACTTCCAAACATGCCCTATAAGTACAGTAGATTTCCCCCCTACAACCACACCCTGTAAGTGCTGTATTTTCAGAGCTGAACAATTAACATAAGGAGCATGAGTCAGGCTTTGAACAACTCTGTGGGAACCAGAAAGCCTTTTGCTATTAGGAATGATGTAAATTCCCCAAGGCTGGAAGAGGTCCACAATGGAAGGTGACAGGGTCATAAATAACAACAATGGATTCGGCCTACACCACATGAAGTGTGATGCTGCGATAGTGGCACTCAAATCTCAGATCGGATTTAATCACTGCCTTTACTTATTTATTTTTAAAATCCAGTTTAAAGAGCACTGTATATTTCCTCTGGGAACTTCAAAAAGTTCTTTAAGAACCAGAACAGTCAGCTCTCATCCTAAATTCTTCCCACAACAATGGGGGAAAGGGCCTAAAGAAAAAGGACAACAGAAAAGGTGACAGAGTGACAGGAGGAAATGTCCAGTTCAAAAAAGTGCAGGACCTGTGACTTAGTTTTCAAGAAAAGAAAAGGAAAAAAGAAAAAAGAAGAGAAAGGCTAGGCGGGGTCTCTTGCTTACAAATTAAAACCACATTTGGCAATTTGTGGAAGGAGGCATATTTACATTTGTATGAAGACTGGGTGGGCAAAGAAAAAAAAGATTAACCTCTTTCTTCAGGCCTAGAACTGTCAGGTCTCATTAGAAATCTCTTATTCTTACATTTTTAGGGTCATTTCACTCCCCTTTGTCACTAAATCACAGCCTTTGGGCCCCTTTCCCCAAGTATTCCTAAGGAAGCAGCTATCACCTGGGAATAGGATTTTCCAAAACACTATGTCCTGATTATTAATGAGTCTCATATCTGGCATCAAAGTGAAATCTGTGGCTTATCCTGAGGCAAACTCCAAGGTGCAAATATACAGTTAATGGTGAGAAGGTTGCACATGCACTCAAGGCTTCCATGAAGGACACCACTACCTTTAGATTATGGGTAAATAATGATGCTATCATCTTCAAGAAATATAGACAAACCCAACATAGTCAGAGATGCTACCATGCAAAGTCCAGAGCTGACAGCTCACAGAGGCTCAAGTATTTAAGAATTAGATTGAGAGGATCTCTTGGGGCCTTCATAAATGATTGGCAGCTAGGTGTTAGCCTAGGCCAAGGAACAGTCTGTAAGTATCATTTCCTGCCATACTGCATTCCTGGCTACCTGTTAACCTTCACCCTAACCCTCATTTTAATTATTGGCAATACTTTGAGGGTTTTACATTTAAAAATGCCAAAACAGCCATAGGACAAGGCCACTGGTCTAAGGAGTCTATCGTATGGAGATACCTTCCTTATCAACTCATTCAAGCCCCAGAACAAGACATTGGCCTTTTCTCCACCTCTGGGCATGTTGTGGAGATCAGTGAATGCGCTAAGGTTGAAGCTATCAAAGTACTTTATGGTTTAGATCTGAAACATCTAAAAAGTTTATGTGTTAAAGGACTGGTTCCCAACACAGCTGGGTTCAGAGGTGGGTCAGTGAGCATGGGGGCTCTCACTTCCTCAGTGGATTAATCCATTGATCCATTCATCACTTAAGGGGAGGCAGGAACTAGTGGAAGGAAGGAAGTCACTGAGGGAGTGTTATTCAAGAAATCTTTGTTCTGAGCCTCTTCTCTGGTAGCTGGCTGTCATAATATTGTGCCTTATCAATGACCCAGAAATAATAGTCAGGTAATCATGGACTGAACAACCTCTGACATTGTGAGCCAAAATAAACCTTCCCTGTTTTTACACTGTTACAAGAAACAGGTAAGGTGTCAAGAGGTGATGCTGCTGTGAGGGGAAGTGAACATCTAAAGGCCGTGGGTATTACTCTGGACATGGTGGTCAGAGCAGCTGTGAAGGTAGCAAAGTGAGCTTCACATAGAGACCTGAGTGAAGGACAAGCTCCCTGCATGCATATAGGGAAGAGGACTAAGGCTCTGAGGACAGAGCATAGAGGGACTGGAAAGTAAACCAGGGGAAGGGACTAGGGAGCAGGTAAGAGGACCGGTGTGTATTGGCATTAGAAAGGGTAACTCTTTTATGCTTTTATAAGGGTGGTACATTAAAGTGAAGAAGGTGATATGCCTAAGAAGAAAAATAAGCTGAAATTTTAAAAGCTTTATCTTGGGTGGTATAAAGTAGCAGGGATAGAGGCAGGGGGACTGGTGATGAGACACAATGGTGTACTCTGAGATGATGGGTCTTCAAGGATATGCATGGTAGGAGCAGTGGTTAGATTAGAAATATAATTTGAAGCAGATTGAAAAGAATGATAAGAACTGGATGTGGGAGTGTGGGGAAGTGAAAAGTTAAGAATGCTTCCATAGTCTGTGGTTTAAGTAGCTAGCTGCATAAAGTTGCTCTTTGACACTGTAGGAAATGAAGGGGAGGGACAAGCTTGAGGAAGGAGAACCAAGAAATTAGTTACAAATTCATGAATGGGATTAGATGCTTTTATAAAAGGGAGTAGGAGGAAGTCTGCCCCTCTTGCCCTTCTGCCTTCCATGAGAAGACAGCATTCTGGAGATGAAGCAACAGACCTTCATGAGACAACAAACCTGCTTCATCTTGGACTTCTCAGCCTTCAGAACAACAATAAGATACAATTTTCTGTTCTTTATATATTACCCACTGCCAGGCATTCTATTACAGCAGCACAAATGGATTAAACAAATATGTAGACTTTAAGTAGAGATGTTGAGCAGGTAGTAAAGGTACGGGTACCCAACAGGTTCCCAGCAGTCTCTGCTGCACACACAGCCTGGGGAAGCCTCACAGATGGTGTTTCAAGCCATTGGGAAGTCACAGTGGGAATGAGTTCAGATGAGAAAAAGATAAGACTTGTAGGTAGACTCCAGAAAGGAGACCCGAGCTGGGTGTGGTGGTGCATGCCTGTAATCCCAGCACTTAGGAGGCTGAGGCAGGAGGATCACTGTGAGTTCGGGTTCAGCCTGAGCTACATAGCGAGTTCCAGGCAGTCTCAACTACATAGTGAGACCCTGTATCAAAAAAAAAAAAAAAAAAAAAAAAAAAA